ATATGAATTTTCTGTTTATTATAATTAAGAAGAATAAAAAATAAAAATAAAAATCTATTTTTCGAGTTTTCAATATCAGATTAAGTTAATTTCAAAAGGAATTGCAAATATAAAATAGACAAGGGGAAAAGAGCTCTCAGTATTTCTAATTAGTGGATTTACGAGAAACTTAGCTAATTAAATGTTGGAAAACAGCCAAAAGTATTAATTAGATAGAAGGTATGCAATATACCCTCTAGCGATTTGTGAAGTAATTACGCGATTTTCTTCTAACACTTCGAAACTTAAAACTGCGTATTGAACAAATTATAGATCTGGTTAATAATTTATCGTTTGATAATCGTTTGTATTTCTACGACAGCGAAAGAAAATTTAAAGTTAGAATTGATAAACCTTAATTTATTTATTTGTTCTTTTCTTTTTTTTTCCTTATTCTTCTTTCTAGTTCCAAAAGCAAAAATCCCAGGAGCGACTGATCTTTACGTGAAAGCGGGTAGTGACATCAACTTGACTTGTATTATTAGTCAAAGTCCAGAACCTCCCTCTTTCGTTTTTTGGTATCACGATAATAGAATGATCAATTACGATTCTTCTAAAGGAGATACTACCGTACAAAAGGCTTCTGGTGATACTGCCATAAGTCGATTAACTATCAGGGATGCTCAACCAGAAGATTCTGGGAATTATACTTGTGGTCCTTCGAATGCCGATGCTACAAGTATACTTGTCCATGTCCTAAGAGGTAAAAATAATAATTAAGAAAATTTTTTTTATATATATATCTATATTTTCAGAAGCTAAAAAGATTTTTTTAAAATCGATTTAAGTCTTATTTTAAGCAGTAAAGTTTTCGGATAATTTGTATATATTTCAAATTTTCAAGTCGAAATAGTAAAAAAAAATATGGAAATGATACAGATTTAGAAAGCCAATTTTAATGAGAAATGAGTGTAGAGAATAGATAATTATATAGTAAAGGAGGTTATTATATAAATCTCTTGAAAATTCTAAAGAATAATTAGATATGAATAAAAAGACATGACTCACTACGCAATAATCATGGATGCGAAATGGATAGTTTATACTGCTTAAAATATAAAGAATAAAATAAAAAAACATAAATAACATTTTATAAATATCTAAACGACATTAAAATTAATTTTTAATTTATATTATTTTCACTACTTTTGTTTTCCAGTGGATTGAAGTTATCAAATTAAGTTTTAAATTAAAACAATTTCGAGACATTTCCGGTTAAGAATAAAATTAATTAAATTTTAAAAAAAAGAAAAAAAAACATTTTATTTTATGACGAACTGAAAATAAACGTAATGGTAAATTAAATAAATTAACGAAATAAAACTTTAACGAAGTTAGAAGAAACTAAATTTTTACAACAAAATATTCTATTTTTTAAATAAAAAAATAAATAAACTAATGTAATATTTTTGTTTAAAAAAATCTTATTTTTACTAGAATCAAAGCTTCTAAGATAAAAATTGAAGATATATTTTTAAAGTTATCAACAAAGAAAAATATTTTAAATATAATTTCAAAATTGATATAAACTCAATTGGTTAAGCGAAGAAACGATGCTTGTTAACTTTACATATATGATAAAAATATTAAATATTCAAATAATACATTATTTATAGAAAATATATCGAATTTACTTTATTATAAGTTTATTTTATAATCTTTATTATCATAATTCTAAGCCAAAATACGAATTATATTTAAAAACAAAAAGTAAAATGTAGAAGTGTTTTCAATTCTGTAAAGCATCCATTTCGCAAATATGAATGTTTTGATTTAATAATTTTGTTTAGATTTAATTTAATATTTTTGTAAAATAACAAAATGTATTATAAGAATTTATTTACTGCGGCTGTTACAAATATATTTAATAAATAACAATATTTTTCTTACGACTTATTGCAGGAAATCTAGCATTATTATTATTTTTTTATCATCAATCAAACAAATGTATGTATGTTAATATTAAATTAATGTTACTAAAGTAACTAAAAATTGAATAAATGTACAAAAATAATATAAAATAACATTTATATTAGAAAAAAGTTATTGATATTATATCATTTCTAACAAAATCCAGATCCTTAATCAATTCGTCTGTATAAATGGAAGGGCGTGTTTCCAAATGACATCAAAATGGTTGCTCCAGAAAGCAATTGCCAGAAATCTATGTTATTGCAGTGAAAGTTAACGTTAACTAAACAAGAACAAACTCTTAACTTGATATTTTCTAATAGAAGATAAAGTATAGGAGTTATATTCTATGAAAATATAATAAAAACTAAACTATACGAAAAGAATCTTTCACTGTTCATAATTAAGAAATTCTTTCAATGTCTTACTATATTTAATGAAATATTTATTACTTTATAATGAAAAATCTTTTAAATATCTTTCGTACTTTCAAAAATTCATATCGTTTAGTATATAAAGAACATCTTAGCTGAAGCTTCAATAAGTTTTTTGACATATCTTCACACTTTAATGAAAATTTAGATCAGAGAAAAACGAAATTGTTCAGTGGCGCAAACGAAATTCTTACATAAAAAATTAATTAAAAGTTGATTTCAATGCGGATTCTTTTAAATATTTACTAAAATATTAAATTAATAGTAACAAGAAAAATTAATTATGGTTGGATTTATGATATCTTTCTTTATTATTCTTTTAAACATACTGAATACATCTGTAAACATGTTGAATAAACTGTGGTAAAATTTGATGTTTGCTTGAATATTTTTTTTTGTATAAAATTATTTTTATTATATTTTCTATATTATAAATTATATAAAAAAGAAAATAAACTTTATACTTACATTAAATACATAAAAATTGAGAGTAACCTAATCTTCTTTATCAACAATAGCATCAGTATCTCTGACGTCTTTTCAATATATATATATAGAAAATTACTTGAAAGTTTTAACAATTACTGTATATACTTTTACATAACTTTTATGAATGCGAATACATCTTAAAATATATTAAAAATAATACAATTGTTGAGGATCATATAATTTATTCATATGCATCATTATAAGTAGCAACATATGCAATATTTCTATTCTTAGAGACTTATAAAACTTTTGCAGGACGAAGAATTACTTTTTTTATATTAAAAACCGTTCGTCATTTTATAAATATCTACCAGTATTCGATCTCAAGAAGATATATCATAGATTGTAGATTTTGAAGAACTTGATCGATTCTTTGCTTTATAGTTCTATGAATTCAGATTGCATCCTTTTACATTTTTATTCAAAACCTTATAAATGAGATGAAACCACTCTTTTTTTTCAATTATCTCCTTAATTATCATCCTATACTCAATCTATTTAATGTTTGCTCACTTAAAATTTTAAGATATTGGTCTGCAATATTGCTTACATATAAAATAATATTAAAAATTTATATAATTCTGTGTGATATATTTCGTTAAGTTATAATTGAAACTGTATATAATGCGATTAATTTAGTGAAGATAATGGAAAGTGAATATGAAAAATATTTATCTGAGTTCTTGGATTATGGACAATCTTTAGAAATTAACTGGCTTGTATATGATGTTAGCCATGAAATCAATTTAATGTGATTTACGACGGATTATCTTTTAATGTTGCTGATAGCTTCTGGGATCATGGGCGTAAAACAGATGATTCATACCGATAATTCTTATGCTTTTGTTTAAAATAAATCAACGATTTTCCTAAATTTTGTACATGAAATAGTTTTACGTGTATTAAACAAATTTCTTCAAATAAAAAATTTCAACTAATTTTAGAAAATTAAGGATAGAAAATCGGTTTAATAAATGATTAATATAAATCTATATACTAAAATTTTTAAGATTAAATTCAGAAAATATAAGATTTAAGTTTATTTTCAAACTCATATTATTATTTGCCAGCCTTTAAATTAATTATTTTTGTTACGTAACTAATGTAGAGTGGTATAAAATATCATTAAAACTTCTTCAACTAGAATTTATTCATATAAATAAATTTTATTCTGGTCGTCTATAAAGATAGATGTGATTATTGTGTAAGCTGAAGATAGAAATTTTATTCTTTAACTCGTAGCATCGGTGTATAAGATCTGATCTTGCCAATCAGTTCATCTCTGTCATCTTATAGAAGATATAACTGCTAACGAGGTGGATCGTCCTATTCATTTCCTGTCCTTCGGATATCTTTCTGATTGGATTTCATTCCTCGTTTCGACTATGTCCCTACTACCTGTCCACAGCCTGTCATTATAGACAGTTGAAAAGATAATTCGCAGTGGAATCGTCCTTGATTCTTCAACACGAAAAATCAATTATTTGAAAAATCTTCTTCAAATGAAAACTTCTTCAATTCTTTTTCTCAAATTTTTAATGCTCCTTTAAAAAAAAATAAATTAATAATGTCATAAGTGCTTTCCTCTAGTAAATTATACATGTAAATAATATCTGTAACACTGTTTATATTAAAGCTAACGATTACTTACAATGTAATTTCTAAGAAGTAGTCCCATAGATTATAGAAGGTTGGGCTTTATGGAATTTTTTCTGAATGTATGAAGATTAATTTTATTTTACTTTAAAGATCCTCGCCTAAATTTCATGAATTATATATCATAAAAAAATTAATTAGCTGTTTTCTTATCCACGCTTTCTCCAGTCTACCTCTACAGTGTATTGTACCTTATAACCTTCCTTCCTATTCTTTGCTGAGCTTCACCGTCTCCAACAGTGGGTCATTTGGCAAGCGTTAGAGCTTGCCAAATGACACACTTGGATCTTCTTTCGGGTCGGAAATTTTACCGGATTGTATCACTTCATCCGTAACGTTGGTGATTTAGGTCCAGATGCCACTGTTTATTGCTGCCGAATCAGTAACATAGCAATATAATTTTTATAAGTTTATATATAGAATTTTATCACGTTTTTCAAATTAGTTTTGCCCTCCTATACATAAAATTTTTGCTCTTATCGATTTATATCTGTCCATGAATTTTACTGAGATGAAATTCGCAGGTCAGATTCCATATATATTAAAGAAACTCTAACCATTTCGTCTCTCTAGAAGCAAACTAAAAAAAATTAATAAAATAAAAAATTAGCAGGGAAATTACTAGTATTTTAAATAATAATAGTAATATTCGATGATTAATTGAAGTAAGATTAAAAAAAAATACAAGTTTAGAATGATTAATTTCACTTTCTTTTCTATACAAAACTTAAAAGTAGACAGATTATTTAATTTTTTTTTTAAATTGATATATCTTTTTGTACTTTCCGTAGAAATAAATTTTATTGATTATCTGATATATTTTATCAAAAATGCCAAGTATTATATAGTGGAATAACTTCAATTTTGTAAATATACTTAGTGAAAAAAATTTTTGATGATCAGATATTCTGTAAGTAAACTGTCTAAAAAAATTTTATATTAAATGTAAAAGTTCATATCTACAAATAGAATTTTTTGCTTATATTAAATAAATAAATATACAGTATTTTGCTACAGGGTAATTTAATTAACCTTTATTCGTTTCACAAAATTATTTTTATTTATAGGCCTACTGCATTTTTCTATATAAATAGTTAATTATATAATACATATTGTTATAGATTTATCAAAGTTATGGTATTATATATGTACTGTATATATATATAAACATACTGTACAGTACATAACAATATTGCTCTCACTATATATAATATGTATAGAATAATAGAGTATGTATTTAATAATTTAATTTGTATTCTTTTTCATACATAATATATAATAAATTAGTGGAGAAATATGCATAAATCCGTAGCAGTAGACTACAAAAATCTTCATCCTTTATCTTTTTGATTTATATTTTCCTTTTCCATATATTATCATTACAGTTTCCTTACTCACTGTCTTGCTAAAAGCTTAATTTATCGTCAACATGTAATAAATATTTAAGTTTGTATTAATCTTCCAAACTCTTTCAGTGAATATATTAATAATTTAAATAAAAGTATTTCTTTTGTAATAGGAGAAAAACAAGCAGCAGTACAAAATGATGCCGGTTCACCCCCAATATCTGCAGCCATGTGTTCTGGTAGCAGGCATGTGGTACTATTTCTTATTTCTTTCATTTTACTATCATTTTGGAGATGACAGTGCAGAAGTTGGATTCGTTGGGAGTGGCACAATGCGAAGAATCTTTCAGGTAAGTTTTTTTAGAAACTTGAACGACTAGCCGCATTGCAGGTTCAGTCGTAATCTTTTCTTTTAAAGTTCACTTCGAATTTTCTTATAAGTTTTTCCTTCTTTTTTTTCTACGCGCTCTTTATCTTATCCATAAAAACGTAGTTAAAATTTATGCTGATAAAAAGCTTTAACTCGAAAGATTTATTTATTTTTTTGCTGTAAAAATTTTTAAAATCATTTTAAACCGATGTGAGGAGTATAAATATATACATAAATATATAAATTATATGTAAAATTACCTATAAATGTATAGGATACATAAATAATTTGGTACTGTGTACTAATTTATATACCCCAAACGGAATATATAAAACGTTAAATTATAATGTTAAAGTCTAAATTAAATTTAAAAAAAAATTAATTATAAATATCTAATAAAAAAATAAGTATTTTTATAACATTTTCAGGGCAGGACTACTTAAATGATGAAGTAAATATTATGTTTTTCTTACGCACATTATTTGCATTTCCTCTCCCATTCCATTGGTTTAAATCCGAAATAGAAGAATACTCAGGACAGGTATGAATAATTTATGATAAATACTAACTTATGAGGTTATTCTGACAAGTTAATAGACTCTTCTCTCGACTGAATTAATAATAAAGACAAATCCAATAAATTAATATATTTATATTTCACAAAGCTACCGAAAAGTTTAAAAGTAATTTTTATTCTTTAAATTATAATAACTTCGAATTACTGTACTCAATCTATTTAATGTTTGCTCACTTAAAATTTTAAGATATTGGTCTGCAATATTGCTTACATATAAAATAATATTAAAAATTTATATAATTCTGTGTGATATATTTCGTTAAGTTATAATTGAAACTGTATATAATGCNAAGTGATCATTTATTATTTATAACAACTTGATGTAGTTTTTTTATAGATTAATACTGTTAAAAATAATTTATTATTTCTTTCTGTTAACAGAAATTTAGTTAGTTCTTTTATTTATATATGTATAAATATAAAAATTTCATACACAATTCCATTTATTTTATATTTATTTACTTAATTTCATATGCTGAATAGTTGTTTATTATTTATTTTAGGAGACACAACTCACCTAATAAGGGAATTGTGTTGTGATGTGTCTTACCTGCCCCCCCTCAAAAAGAGATTATTATGTAAAGTGGTACAACTTCACATACCAAGTATTACGTTGACGGTTATTCGGGTTTTAAGTGATAAACACGTCTCTGTACATTGTATATGTGAATACGTAACGGAAGCAGAATTGCATGAAGTTGCTTTTATGTGTATATAGTTTTATTCCAAAGAAGGAAAAAAATATACACAGCTAATTATATCAATGGAAAAATAATAATATTAATAAATAATATTATTATTATATAAATAAATAAAATTAAGGTAAAAAAAACATGCTTTATCTCTCTCAGGATATTCAATATTGTACTGCTGTGTATACATTACATAGTTCAGTCAGTACTCAGTAGAGAATGAAATATCAAATTCGAAAACGTGTGAATTCGAAAATTTCATTTATTACTATTTTTTCATTTTTTTTTTCTTTTTCTTTTTTTTTAATAGAAAATTCAACATATTGTCGTAAGGAATGGATCTGGCATGATTGGCATATTAATGTTTTTTCCTCTTTAAAATTGAAATATGATAAAAATACAAAAATACACGCTGACAGATTTACAATATAAATAGTACTGTACTCTGAATATATTTGTAAGAAACTGTTTGAAAGAAAATTGTTTTGTACATATAGGTTTTAGTGTATGATCTGTAAATAAGGAAAGTGTGTGAAATAAACTAAGACATAAATGAGATTCCTGATTTTTGTAATAACAATTATCATAAATTTAAAAAAAAAGAAAAAAATAAGATTTTTTTATGTAGAATTTAAAAAGAAATAATGGAAGTTAAACGTTTGTGATTTAAATAATGTCTATTATTCTCAAGTAATATGTTGTTAAGTAACAAATGGATATTATTAAAATCACGATTATTATTTACATTTCATAATTTAAATAATGTTTATTTTGATTATTTTTATTGTTACGTAACAAATAAATATTGTTAAAGTAACAATTGTAGCATTTAATATTTGTCATTTCTTCTTGTCTCATTATTACGTAACAAATAAAACATAGCCTTACATTACAGCAAAACAATTATATTTCTTCGCTTTATTGTTACGTAACGAGTAAACAGATTTTTACCAGTTTGATTGTTACGTAACAATAAAGTGAAAATATTTATTATTGCCTCGTTGTTACGTAATAATTAAACAGAGCGCTACCTAGAGTGAAAAAAGGAAAATTTTACCTGCCATATTGTTACGTAACAATGAAATAAAACTATTTCGCCTTGCTTTCATTGTTACTTAACAATGTATTAAGATGAAATAGAAATGATTACAGCCAATTTTTTTTTCAATTTCAATTTTATGATGTAATTGATGTTTATGTTACGTAACAAATTAATTTTAATAAAATTGAAAAATTAAAAAAAGTAAGTATTGAAATAGATTTGAGTACTGACTATAATAGTATTAAAAGAATTGAAAACATTGTTAAAAACATGTTAAATAAGTATTTAAAAATTGCTATCATTATAAAAAAATTATTTTACATAATAATAATAATAATATCTTTTATTTAGTTGTAAAATATTTGTTTTAAAACAATTAAATTATTTTTTGTTGTAAATCAAAGTATTAATATTTCTTTCAATATATTATCTATATATATTATAAAAACAATAAAAAATGTTTTAAAATTATTATAAAATATTTATCTAAATGGAATTTTATCTTAAACAATTTAAAATTATTTTTTTTATAATTTTTAAATTTATTTATGAAAGAAGAAAATATATTTTTTATTCAAATAATGAATTATAAAAATAAAAAATAACGGTAAAAATTTAAAGATGATCCAAAAATTTAATATATTTAAATATTATTGTTTTGTTTCATCAAGAACAAATTTTTAATATTAATAATTTCTTTAATTTTTTTTAATTAATTAATAAGAAATTATCATTTCTACTTTGAAGATCTTAAAATGTTTTAAATGACAAAAGAGAATAAATTATTTTTTTAAATAAACGAATAAAATAAAAATCTAAGCGTAAATAAATTATTACGTTTAACATTTCTTAAAAAATTAATTTAAAAATATTTAAATGTTATACATTAAAAAAAATTAAATGTGACAATTAACGTCTTAAAAAATTACTTTATTACAGTACATAAATATATAAAAATGATTTTTTTTAATTGTCCAAAACACACTTTAATTATCATTAACTTTTATAAGAATGAATTAATATAAAATTATTAATTAAATAATCTTCTAATTAAATGATGACGATAAAATATATTTTGCAATTTTTCTTAAATAACTTCCTTTATTATTCTTGATAATATCTAAGATAACAAAACAGGAAATTACTTCTTATTAATTTATTTATCAAATTAAAATAATATTATTGAAGTTAAAAATTACTGATATTAATCATTTTAAAATGAAATTATCTTAAATAATTAGAATATTTTCTTAATAGAATTTTATATGTTGAAAAATGTTTTTGATGTGCCGAAAAAGACATTTAAGCTCTTAAAAAATAATTTCGAGTAAACAAATCGATTTTTACTTCGTACGAAAAATATGGTTTTGTGTTCAGATCATATTTGTGCTACTGAAACGTATTGTATAGTTTATGATAGAAACTATATATCAAGTTTATTTTGCCTCTGTGAAAATGTTTGTACCTCTACACTATAAAGTATAATTGATGGTTAAGAGAATATTCGAAAGTTTTTCTGTTATTTTATCAATCATAATTCTTCTTCTATAAAGTTTTCTTTATGAAACTTTTTTAAAAAAACGTTTCTTTTATTAGAAATTCACAAAAATACCACGTAAAAATTTCATTATCATTAATGAATGACGAATAATAATTCTTTATAAATGAAGATATCAACTTTGTACTGTTCATAACTGTTTCCTAAAGGGGGTACGTGGCAATTTTCATCTGTACCACTGACATTAAAAAAATAATAATTATGAATTATTTTAAACGTATAAATCTCCTACTCAAGTTGCAATAAGTGCTTCATTTGGGTAGTTTACAAACGTTTTTTGACAAGGGGTACTCGGTACTTACGAAATTTATGTGTTACACGTATGTGAAATCTTACGGTTAAGAAAATATTCAAGTTTTTTGTTATTTTCTATACATTTATTTGGATGAAACTCTTGAAAAATATTTTTATTTATAATTACTTAAAAATATTTTGTAAACATTTCATATTTTAATGATGTATCATTAACAAATAACGACTGATAATGAGATATGCAGAAATATCATTTTTTAATTTACATAAATATATATATATGCGACATATAATGCCTCCATACGAAATATTAAATTAAATTAAACGTAGAAAAAAAAAAGTGTAAATTAAATTGGTTATTTTACGATACAATTTCACCTTTAAAAAATTAATGAATTTAATTATTACCATGTTTAATAAACAGATTAAAATAAATCTAAGTTTACTAACAATAAAGATTTGGAAGGGGAAAAAAATTTAATCTGTCAAAAATAATTTATCTTTGCCATTTTTGATAAGGAATCATATTTTAAATTATGTTTCTTGATATGAAGGTAAAAAGTGATGTTTTTACTATAACAAAATTTGCTACTGCGATGAATGGTTATAAGAGCGTACTTATTGACAACATGGCTGATAAATTGCCTCACTCGTTCTACTAGATTAAACATTTTCTCCGCAAAGTCTTTAAAGCGTGCAGAACCGAAGAAATTGCTTTTGTGACATGTCAACAGAATGTTCAGTCATCGGTTGGTGAAAAATTTCACAAGTTAGATATTTGCATAAAAATACAATCTTGGTCGTTTTTTTCCCCTCCTTTCTTTATCCTAACCAAGAATTTTCTTATGAACCATAATGTCACTAACACTGTTAACTTTAGAAAGTTAAATTATTAATTTTTTTTTAAAATATTATTCTGAGAATTTATGAAGAATATATTTTTTTAATAACCGAAAATAATTTTTTTTTAAATTAATTGTTTAATGGTTAATTATGTAAATTATCTATTGATTAAGCTTTTTAAAAAATGTTTATAATCTTTAAAAAAAATTCAGATTTAAAAATGTATAAAATCGGTTTTTAAAATGATTTAATTTATCGAAAAATCAAAATTTTATTTCTTTTCATTTAATAAAATTCAAATTTTCAATATATTTATATTTATGGTAATTAATAATATATATACATACGTACTACTGTATCTAGTTTTGCATCAATTATCATAAAAAAAAATATGAATATATCTTATCTCATAAATATTTTATTTAAAATTTTTATATTGATAAAATATTAAAATAATATATAAATAAAAATCTTAAAATTCTACTCTTCCCAAATACATTAAGAAACATTAGCTTAATGACAAAGAGTTATGGAAATTTATCAGAATTCTGTTCTATTTATTCAGATGAGACATGTTTCTTCAACCATTTCATATCAAAACAGCTCATTTAACTTTCATGAAACAAGAGAATAATAAAAATTTTTCAATAATTTTGATGAAAATTACATTTTCAAATGATTTAAAACAATGAATGACAATTATCATTTTAAGAAGGCATTTAATTTTTGTTAATTGTTAATTCATTTTAATATAATTAACTAAATTAAGATAAATAAAAGAAAAACAAAATCTCTGTGTTTGTTATATATATTACGGAAAAATATATTATTATTTTCTTGTATTAAATCAGAAAAGTCAAGTTATAAAGAGAGGAATCCCACTGGCATAAGATCCTAAGAGTTTACTGAAGCTATCTAACTGAAAGCAGAGCTTTTCCTTTTCCTTATTTTTTTTTATTTCTTTTCTTATTCTTTACATTCTGTACAAACACAGTGCAGAATGTTGTTTACTGACAAAACTTTCATAATCCTAACTCAGTCACTGACTAGATAGCAAGGATAAATTCGCAATTACAAGCAGGGATTGTCAATTATCTAGACAGAATTAATAAAATGATGATACATAGATATATTTCATCCAAAATATACATTGGACATGATAAATGCATTTAAACATTAAGACAAAATATTAATAAGATAAATCTTCTATATTTTTTTCCATCTTTCTCCTAGAATACAATATCTTTAATTGGAAGAAAAATGCTACTGACATAATTAATAATTATCAATGATAATTTAACAGGGTTTTTTTTTCTTTTCTTTCTTTTCTAGGGGATGATAAAACGTTATCATTTATCGTATACAGTATATATATATATATATTTTTTTAAAGTTGTAAGAGCTTACAAGTTAAATTTATAGAGATAAATAAATTCTCAAGATATACATTACTTCTATCAATATCAAAATATGGAAGATTTCTCGTTAATAAAATAAAATTTTCGATTAGTAAAATTAAATTATGTGTAGCAGCATTAGAAATATTTTGAGAGTTATATATTATTTTTATTATATTTAACTTAGTTGAGTTAAAAATTTAATATCTTTGCCACGTTATCGCTTACAGTTTTACCCTTTTAGCCTTTTGCTTAAAAATAGATTTATGAAGATTTTAATGTTGTGAAAATACAAGTTAATTAAAAAAAATGAAAGTAATAAAATTAATGGAAAAAAATATTGTTAGTAGGAATCTGATAAATCAATAATTTAATAATTTTGTAAAGACGGATTAACTGAGAAAAAAAAATCCATTTGATGAAATGACTTTGAAACAATTATTATTATTATTTTTTTCTTAATTGATTTTCTTCCCCTCAAGTTAAGGATTATATTTGCATAAAATAATTATATAGTTTAACTTTTGGTATAATATATTACATTGTTTAAAATAGCAGATAATTTTATTTTTAAATTTTTAAAATAACAAAATTAAATATTTAATT